TCCAAATTTGGAGACTTATCCACCTTCCTTGGAAGTAGTCACAGGGATTGCTCTTCCCTAGACTCCATCCTTCTTCACTTCACATCTCGCACTATGACTACATACAAGCAGGGCTAATTTCTACCTCTTCTTCCTTGGTATTCTAACTCTGCCCATTTCTCAGGGTTGGTATAACTGTCTTGGTGACAAATTTAATTTTTAAAGTGAGTAGGTGAAAGGTCATAGTTTATTCTCCTCATTAATTTCAATTCTCTGACTCTCTTCCACTTCTTACTATTACCTCTCTCCAGAGAGAACACAAACCAGACCACTGTTTCTCATTTTAAACTTCTGTGCGATAGATAAAAATTATTTCCCAATTTGTTTTTGTCAACAAAAATATATTTGTTTACCTAAATTCTCAACAAAGAGACACACTGTTCTCCATCCTTAAGCCAATCGCTGACTTAGCAAAAACATAAACAAAACCACCTCCTTGTTATGACAGGATCAATTTTCATAATCCTAACCTTTACAGCAGGTTCTGTTTTCATTTCTTAATTCATTTTTGCCAATGAAAATATGATTACTGTCTGTTCTCTTTTCATCAATGACATTTTTTTTTTTTTTTTTTTTTTTTTTTTACCAATTTCCCAAAAAAGAGATAAAACCATTTCCCAGTTTGCTTTACCCACATGCCAGATTTTTGATAGATAAAAAAAAGAAGTAAACTCTTGAGGCATCATTTCAATTTTTTAGGGGTGAGACATCCAGATCGCTCTTTTTTAATCATTTTCATATTGCCAGGGAAAATTCTCTCTCTCTCAGTTTATATTTCATTTTGGGCTTAACCCTTTTTCTGCTAAGAATTAATATTTAACCACTTCACGGCTTCAGTGTCACAGTAGAAGAGGGATCAGTTTATTACTTAATAACAAAGGAAAATTGATCCCCCACTTTATGTTGAATTATGTAGAATCTTATATTGGTACTGGTTAACTCATACTGACAAAAATGATGGCATATTTTAAGTCCTAACTATTATTAGATTTTCATATGTATGTGTATATTTTCATATCAGAAATGTAAACCATAATTTCATGTACCTCTTTGATCCCTGCCAAGGGATACATTTTCTTTAATAAGTGTAACAGAGAGAGGTATACACACACATCCACATGAATGCACACACGCAAATATAACTTTTATTGACTGGAAATGAAAACGGTGTTTATATATCAAAGTACAATTTGGGTTAAGATGTGTGTTTAATGATGAGAAACACGATCTCAGGGCAGGATTAACTCTAGATTTTGCTAATAAAGCAGGATCGGGAAAAGAGACTGTGGTTGCAGTGAGTCGAGAGATTTGCGGGAGAATTTTGGAGGAGAGAGAGAAGACTGCCCCCTGTTCTGAGAAGTCTGTATGAGACTGGACTATTAGTCATAAACCTACCCCAGGCAATTCAATACGTGTTTATCACACACAAACCCTCTCTCTGTTGGGAATTCACTGGATGCATTTTGTCTTTTTCTTTTCTCATTTATGTTAAATGTCTTTATTCTCCCTGTAACCTCTGTTCTGACGTTATCTTCTTATATAAAAGACGTCAATATTTCCCCCATTGTTGTCTGGCTTCTGCAGATATTATTTCTTGTTTTATTTTGCCACATTCTAAAACTTCCTCGTGCCAACTCTCACAGCCATGTCCACATCCCCAGTCGACTGTGAATGTATAGACAACACCCTGCTTACTGGATCTAAAAGCTAACACAGCGTGGGCAGCGAGCAGGACTTGACAAATTGACCGGTCGAAATAATCTATGGGTACTCAGGGAGTATACGGCCAGTTACCCCTAAGTTTGGTTCGAACCGAGTGGACACCCCTCAACCCAAAGAGGAAGACGCCGGAGGTTGAGGGGCTGGAAACAAAGTGGTAGATAAGACTCTCTGTTGTCTAGGCCGGTGGACATTGATTTCACTGTTTGAAAAGTCAAGGATGTCCACTCAAACATTAGTATCTGCCAAAATTAGACTAGATAGTAATAGTAGCTTAAAAGCAGTGTAAACTTCTAAGCTTGCTCCTACAGAAAGCTAATTGGGTCTCGGACTCAAAACTAAAGTGGCCTCTGGTATTTCAGCCAAAAGACCAATTTAGACCCAAATTCCAATTCAGGCTGATTAATTACAGTTCTTTAAATCACAAACTCTGGAACTTCAAAACTACATGTTGTGAAACCTCCCACTTCAACTCATATTCCTTGGCATTTTGAAAAAATAAAACTGATTTCACCAAATCACAAATTTTTGGAGATTTTAAACTGAATTTAAATCAATTTTTTTTTTTAAATTCACAAAGTTTTTCTGCGTTACTTAAGACCTAATCTCTATCTATAAAAGGCAGGATGTGTGTGTGTGTGTGTGTAACGAATGCATTGCCACAATTTTCAACAGATTTGCACCAAAATTTACATGCACATGCTCCAAGTTAGTAGAAAGGCCAAGATCGACTTTGCATTTCCCAACTCCCATCGATAGTGAAAATAATCAATTTTTTTCATGCTTTTACAACAGTTTTCATGTAGTTTGCGGCCATTTTGTACTGGCCAGAGTGAGAGCCAATGGCTGGCTGCCACAAATAGGCTGGAAGATTCTATTGGCCAGCGTGAGAGCCAACAGCTGACTGACATGAATGTTAACTAGCATGCTAGCATGCAAAAAAAAATCGATAGCTGCATTCGTCACAAGTGGGGAAAAATTTAAATCTGCATGGCACTTTACTCCAATTGGCTCATTCGCTTGCTTAAACACAACGTTGATTCTGATTCCGCAGAACTGGGTTGGGTGTGAAAAAGTATTTGTTGTTAACATTCTTTTTTCATTCGGTTTTTTCAGTTAAGTCCTTTTTTAAAGCTGATCATTTTGTGTTCATTTTGTTTAGTTCTTTTTTTCATAACAGATTTAATGTTTAGTATAGAGCTTAGAAAATATTCGCAGTGTGAGATAGGCAAGAAGTAAGGCATGTAGCAACATCAGCACGGCAAAGGGCACTCCTTTAAATGCAAGGAAGGGCAAAAATATTTTAAGTCAAGTGATAGTCATTGCTGTATGAGTCGTACAATTTTTGAATCAAGCACGGACAATGCCGGGCCATGCTGCTAGTATAAATTAAAATCTTTTAAAAAATTTTTTTTTTTTTTTTTTTTCAGTTATTTTAAAATTTAAATTTTTAACTATTCTCTCCTCATCCTGGCACAGATCTCAATGCTGAATGTTCAAGCACCAGATGAAGGGCAGACTTTCAATCCAGGAATCATCTTGATTCCAAAATGGTAGTTCCACTGATAGCCATTCATATTTCCAGACCCACATTTGGATGTGTAGATGAGCAAAGAGTTGGTAGGGATGAGCTGTTAGACTGACTTGGTAGTTGTCACAAGTGTTGCCTACAAATGTACCCATCCATCCAGACTGAACAAGCAAAGCCCTGATTAAAACACCTAAATATATTAGAAATTGGGTTTCCATTCTCATTTCATTCTGTGGTATTTGTTTTCATCTTTTGTTTCCATGTGAACGTGCAGTGGGCATTTCCCAGTCTCTGGTACATACTGACATGAAAAAAACTTGAGATCTAACATCAAGGTAGCCACTTGGTGATGGTCTTGTTGCATGTTTATGCCTACACTGTGTGGCAGATTATTTCTGGTTACATTCAGTAGCTGACAGTATAATTGTTAACATCTACGGAATCAGACAATATCCCAGTTGCCATGAATTTTAGCACAGCAGGAAGAAGTGGAGACATTTTGAAAATTAGTGTCAAAAAATAAAAAAAAAACTGGCTAACTTTTCAATCAAACCCTCTTACAAGGTCCGTTGAACAACCAATAGTTGTTGGATGGGGAGAAGAGGATTTTATTTCCGTTTTTATTCGTTTTCCAGGTTTTCTCTTTTTTGACTCTTGCTCTTGTTTCCTGTCTTAGTTCTTTTTTTTTTCTTTTTTTTTTTTTATCATTTCATCCTAATCAAGGCAGTAAAACCTGATACACAAAGTGTTACGAGCGTAAAAGGAAAACATTAAGGAACATGAACAATAAAAGAAAAGGAATTAAAGAAGTCAGCAGATAATGATCCTGTAGACTCTTTTTTCTCTACTGTTTTTTCAAATTTTTTTTTACTTTTTTTATCTTTTTTTGCTTTTTTTATCTTTTTTTACTTTATTCTTTCTATGTGTTACTTTTTATCTCTTTTTATTGCTTTTTTATCTTTTTTTTGCCATTTTATCTTTTTTTTGCGCCTTTTTATCTTTTTTTGGCATTTTTTGCTTTTTTTAACTTCTTAAACTTATTTTTGCTTTTTTTAAGCTTATTTTTTACTTTTTTTTGCTTTTTTTTGCTTTTTTTTAACTTTTTTGCTTTTTTTTAACTTTTTTGCTTTTTTCTTTTTTTTGCTTTTTTCTTTTTTGCTTTTTTTTTTTTTTTTTTTTTTTTTTTTTTTTTTTTTTTTTTTTTTTTTTTTTGCTTTTTTTTTTTTTTTTTGCTTTTTTCTTTTTTTGCTTTTTTCTTTTTTTTGCTTTTTTCTAACTTTATAACTTTTTTCCTTCTTTTGCTTTTTTAACTGTTTTTTTGTTGCTTTTTTTATCCTTTTTTTTTACTTTTTATCTTTTTTTTTTTTTTTTGGCTTTTTTTTAACCTTTTTTGGCTTTTTTAGCCTTTTTGTCTTACTTTTTTTTTTTAACCTTTTTTAAAACTTTTTTTGCTTTTTTTTTTAACTTTTGGCTTTTTTTAACTGTTTTTTTTTTTTTTATTATTATTTTTTTTTTTTTTTGCTTCTTTTCCCCATTTTCTACTTGTTCATTTTTTTATTCCCCATTTTTCTGGGTTTTTTTTTGTTTTTGTTTTTTTTTTTTTTTTTTTTTTCCTCTCTTCCACCACATTTTTATTTTTTTTTTTTTTATTTTTTGTGTTGTTCTCTAATGTTCTTCTTTTTTTCTTCTTTTTTTTTTTTCTCCTTCTCAGGGCTGAGATGCTGTTGCGGAATGCTCAAGAGATTGCAGTTGATGATCCCCGCCGGCCAGAAATGATCATGGACCACAGATACTGAAGAATTTAAATTTTCTTTTTCTTTATATCTGTCCCTTGCTGCTGCAGCTGCCAGACAGAATACGACCCACGGTGCTGCCTTGACTTGATTTTTCTAACACCAAATATGCACTGCTACACGATCACAAGATGTTCTATATCTACATACATACATACATACAGTCCCCCCCAATTTTTATTTTTATTTCTTTTATTTTTTTATTTTCATTAAATAAAAATTTGGGGGAATTCAAAGAATATCTATTAGAAAATATTTTTTTATATAATTTTTTTTTTTCTGTGACAAAAAAAACTTTTTTTTATTAACAGAAATTTTTTATAGAATTTTTTTTTTAATGAATAAAAGTTGTTATTATTTAAATGTTTTCCTGATATTATGAGGATTTTTCTTTTTATTTGGGATCAGTTTTTTGTTTTTTATAACAAGAATTTTTTTATTTTTTTCAATATTTAAAAATTTTGTATCTATAATTAAGACATTTTACAAAATGTGAATCCTTTCTAAAAAAAAAAAATCACTTTAAATAATTTTTGTTTCCACTCTATTTTTGTTTTGTTTTTTGTTTTGTTTTTTTGTTTTTAATTTAAAAAGGAACCTTAACATTATAATATTTTTTAAAGTTTAATTTTTTTTTTTTTTTGTAAAGAAAATTCTTTCACCCATACAAAAATAAATAAAACTTATTTAAAAGTCTGAAAACTATTTGTAAGTTTTCTATTTAGAACCACCAAAAAAAAAAAAAAAATGGACCCGCCCACAAAAGAAAAAAGAAAACAATAGTAAATTTTTTTTTTTTTTAATCTATCTCCAACTCTCCAATTTACAGTTTCCCAGTCTTGAGCCCCCTTCCCCCTCCCCCCCCAAAAAATGCCTGAATTTTTTTCTCAGTCATTCTCTGCCTGGAGACCGATACTGGAGAAATAACCATCAACAGGCAGGTAGGCCAAATTCTGTCATTTACTCTTTCAATTGTACCCACCCAATATCCTCACCTCTATCCTGTTGTTATTATTGTCAACCCCACCACCAACCAACCATATGTTCTCCAGCTTTGAATCTGTTATGGTCAATATAAGTATTGGAGGGCAGCTGTGTTTGTTGGTAGAGGAAAACCATGTAAACTGAACACAGAAAGAAAAAAAAAAACATTGGCAAATAATAGTCAAGTCATAAATGAAACACTCAATGGACATTGTTAAGATATAATCTGTACAAATATTTTTTTTTTTTTTTTACTTATGTAGTTGGACAGTAAGTATTGTATTATGAAATTGTTATTAGTTGTTTTGTTGGTTTGTCACACTCATGTTCAGTTTTTTTTGTTACTTTTTTTTGTCTTATGTAATGAAGAAATTGCCTTTTAGGCACTACTTAAATTGAATGGTCAACATGTAAAAAAATAATGAAAAAAATTTGGGGAGGAGAGTAATTTTTGTAGATCAGTATACAGTAAAGCTTTCTCAAGTCACAATATTTATCAGAAACAAAATATCTTTTTTTGTTCTTTTTTTTGTTCTTTTTTTCTTTTTCTTTTTTCTTTTTTTTCTTTGTTTTTTTCTTTCTTTTTTCTTTTTTTTTCTTTCTTTTTTTTCTTTTTTTTTCTTTTTTTTTTTTTTTTTCTTTCTTTTCTTTTTTTTTCTTTTTTTTTCTTTTTTTTCTTTTTTTTTTGTCAGTTTAGGAGCAGAGTTCCTGTTCATAATATAGAAACAGTACCCCTGACTTTTGTAAAGATTTACCTGTACTTAAATCAAGTTTGAAACTATTCTTGAAATCTGCAAAAGACTGATGTTATTCTTAAATAGGTTATTTTTTTTTTTTTTTTTTTTTATAGAAACATTAATTTCTAATAGAAACATTAATAAAGTTTTTAATTAATTTTAATTTTTTTTTTATAGAAACATTAATTTTTTTTAATTTTTTTTTAATAGAAGCAGTTCCAAATCACTCCCCTAACCTTTGTAAAGAATTACCTCTACTTAGATTTTTATTTTCAAATATCAAGTTTGAAATTATACTTATGTCACTGAAATTTGCAGAAGACTGATGTCATTCTTAAATTTGTTGTTGGCACCTCAAGGCAGTGTAATGGTTAGCAAGCTTGTTTTGCTAAAACAATTACGACTGGGTAATGAGTTCAATCCTGCTATGCTTGGAAAATCACTATTATTAAATATGTTGTGTTTTTTTTTTGTTTTTTGTTTGTTTTTTTTTTGTTTTAAGCATTTTTTAAACTTTGGATTGGGGAGGGGGACTTTTTTTTCAGAGGCTCTTGCTCAAAGTAAGGGATGATAATAATAATAATTTATCTTTTACTTAAATTAGAAAATATTACCTGATATCCCAAAATGTATTTTTAGCAAACTGTGACAGAGAATTTAAGTAGTGCCACTTCTTTTTTTATTATTTATTTATCGTTATATATGTATTTTTCTTTTTTTGCTTTCTCTTTTTTTATCTTTCTTTCTATTCTTTCACTCCATTTGAAAAGCCAAGGATGGACAAGAAAATAGAAAACAATTTGGGAAAGTTTTTTTTTTTTTCTTTTTTTTTCTTTTTTTTTAATGAAAGTTAAGGTTATGAGATCAAAAATTAACTTACTATAAATCAGTCTATGAGAATAGAGAATTCTAAAATTCAATAGAAATCATTTTTTATCAACTCAACGCATACTTAACCCTAGAACACTAACCATGGGTATATCATACCTGATTTTGGAAATATTCGAAAAAACATTAAATATAAATCTTTCTTTGAAATATTTTACATTTAGGCACTTCAAACTGTGTACTTTGAGTTTAATAGGAACTGAAAAACATATTATTTAGGTAAGAAAATCAGGTACTGAAAATTGTAATTAAAAATAGGAAAATTTGAGCTGGGTACTATATACCCATGGGTAGTGTTCTAGGGTTAACAAAAAAAACAAGTAATCAATTCTCTTGAAAGGAAAGAAAATGTCATATGTTTTAAAATTCTAAGAATTTTTCAAAAATTTCTTTAAAAAGTAAATTTTTGCAAAACATATATGCACACACACACATACACACACAAGGAAAACTTACCTTAGCCAACACATTTCGTCTTCTGATGGACTTTACCAAAGCAACAGACTGTCGGCTAAGATAAATTCTCCTTTTTTCTATATTTATATTGTCCTCTTACATACATATGTATATTCTAAGTGTGCTTAATTTTAAATACTTTCAAAAGATCTTTTATTATAAAAATAACTTTTTTTTCTCTTAACCCATGAACATACATTCATGCATTTTGATGCAATATACAAAATGGGTGTTTCATATCCTGAGACTCTCCTGGTCTCTTCAGCTGCTTTTCACCTTTTTCAAAAGTAATGCATCACAATGACAGCAGTCCAAAGTAATAACACCATGTTGTTAAAACACATCCGCTAACTAAAAATGAAAGGGGAAAAAAATGCAGTAGTGGAATGTGGATATAATTTTTAAAAAAATGGAGAAAACCAGAGGCAGAAACAGCAGTCTGTGTATGAAGGAGAAACTGAAAAATTATGAAATACAAGAACATGAATGGATTAATAAACAAAAGGAACAAAATTCTTTTGAACTGTTGGCATGTTGACAGATTACTTTTGAAAAACCTGAAAAAGAATTCAAAGAGCTCGGGAACATCCAAGGATCTCAAACAGCCATTCTGAAAATGGCACAGAATTGTGTGAAACAGTCTGTAAATGGGTAAATAATAATAAACACATTATTTTTACTTGTATGTACATGTGTGTATACACACACACACACACACACACACACATATATATATATATGGATATTAAAGTCAACCCCTAGTGGCAACAGTACATTTCATGCTTAAATGCAAACTTCATGGAATCTCTTAATTTGAGTCTGGAGATTGTCACTGCTAGTTTTTGAATTCAGTGTCCACACACACACACATTTTAAGACATGTCTGATTAAATAATTTAACCAAATTTTATCCTACTTATTCTAAATAGTATCTTTTTATAATTACAGGCAAGATTTTTAGAATCTTTATTAAAGGAAGAAAGAAAATTACCTTGTTGATACATATTCATTTTATTCCAAGTACTTTCAACATTTGCACAATGTCATCATCAGTGTCTTGCTTTTGCTTTTGTTCATCGTTTTTCTAAGACAAAATTGTTGTGTTCGTCTGAAAATTAAATTTTTACATGTAAAGTTAAAAATGAACACAACAATTTTTTTGTTTTAGGTAAAACAAGACCCTGATGATGACATTGTGCTAATGTCAAAAGTACTCAGTATAAAATGAATATGCATATTTAATAAGGATACTAAGAAACCTGTCCATAATTACGAGTGGATACTATTTAAAATAAGTCGACAAAACTTGTCTAAATTATCTAATGAGACATGTCTTAATGAAAATATGCTGCCAAAACATACACAATTTATATATATATATATATATTTCTTATTACAATAAAGGTTATGTTTAAAATATTTAAGTTGAAAATGGAAAACTCTAAATTTCTATAAACCACATGTTTGCAAAAACAATGATGTCTGCCAGCTTAGAGATTGAAAGTCTTGATGAGGAGAAATGTACATCTCAACGTTTTCTTTATGAAGACTTTCAATCTCTATGCTGGTGGACAATAAATTTAAATGTTATAAAATTCAGGAACCAAAATATTTTGCATTTCATTAAAAGGAAAAAAAAAGAAAGCAATAACATAAACTCTGATATGAAAATGCAAGGAAGTATTATTTACATTATTTGGACTATTATCCTCATCTTTGTTGCCATATTCACAACGTTTCAGCCATTGTACACTCCGGCCCTCTTAAAGTGTTTGAAATTTTGAACTGAAACCTTTATTTTTTGTCCACCAAGGTAGATTGTTCTAGTGCTACATGCCATGCCACTTCCATATATCTCAGTTATTTCACTTTAACTCAACTCTCCAATTTTTTTTTTTTTTGTTTATTTTTGCCGTAGCTTGGTATTGAACTCACAAC